CTAACTTCACCTTTTTGTAAATGTTTTTCAGGAGGGCTAGCAATTTCTTGGCTGCACTGTATGAGCCCAAAGTAGCCATCATCATCATGTATATTGAATGGCCTTTATAGTCATTAAGTGTCTTCCTGATGAACTCTCCATAATGCTTCAAGCATGAGCTCACTCCTGTGCTGCTCTTCACCTGAATGTTCTCCGCCATCCATGCTGATTCTTTCCAGAAGAAAGGAAAAGACTTCATTCAAACAGGTGGAGATGTCTTTATAACAGATGCAGTCCTGCATCTCATCTTTCTTTGGTATCAACACTTTACTGTAAAAAGTTGCTTTTCCTTCCTCCCACAATGCCTTGATGTGATAGGCAGAGTGGATTGAACTTGGCACAACAGTGCCACCCATCTGGGGAAGCTCTTATTGGTGCTGGCTATTTCACATGGGCGATAGGAAAGATGGGAAAGAGCAAAACACAGAAAATCCAGGAAGCCGCATTCAAGTTTCTCACATTTTACCATAGCAGACATAATCCTAAAAAGTCTGCACCATTATCTTCTTATGTACATACAGTATAACAATACATACTGGTTCTACAGTGACAGGCCTACTTGTTCAGGTATGTCCCGCTAGAGGAATGTGAAAACTTATTCCCTACCCTAGTATCCAGGGCTGTGGGGAAGGAAGTGAGAAGGGTACTCATGATCTGTGATCACAGCTTTGCAGCCCAGTCATTTAAATAGGGTCCCATTTGCCTCTACTTTCCTGTTCAGATCTTTAAAAGTAATTGTATGTACAGTAATGATCTAAAACATTGGATTATTTTATTGTACTTATAATCATTTATTTTATTGTACTTATATTCATTTATTTTATTCATTAATTGTATATTTATTTATTAATAAATTTTATCAATATTGGTGGCTCTGTCATGTCTTTTATTGGAGCCTTTCTGTGATATAAAACTATGTTGTGACTTACTGTGAGTAAACCAAACAGGCCTTTAACAAAGGAGCAGAACCCTTACCCTCTATTTGCTGAAGAATATTTTTTCACTAAAATCTCCATCACCCTGACCTATCCTTCAAAAACCAGTAGCTGGGACAATGTACACATGCAAATAACATCTGAAAACAGATAAAGAATATTATGGTAATGGACCTCCTATTTCAAGTTAATCTCTTGCTAGTAAAAGCCAGTAAAACAACAGTAAAAGCCATTTAGCCATTTTTCCCTGGACCTCCTATTTCAAGTTAATCTCTTGCTAGTACTGCAACAGTAAAAGCCATTTAGCCATTTTTCCCCTTTTCCTTCCTTCTGTGATTCCTTATTTTCTTTGGTGCGCAAGAATTTTCTTCAGTGGTTTTTTTTTTTCTTTTTTTTTTTTTTTCAGAAACGTCATTAACAATGATATATTTTGTTTGATGCAGCATGGCTATTATCCTGTATCACACCACCAGTCTCTAAGGAAAATACACCAGACATTAGTCTGATGGTGAAGAACATAAACACAAAAGAACTGTGTGAGGGGAAAACATGTCATGATCCTGAAAGACAATACCCCACTGTGTTGGATGCGAGTGTAATACTGAGGGCAGCCAGATCTGCACATGTCATAGCCCTCTTACCTTGTTGACAACTTTCTACCCTGGCAGGCTGATGAATGAGATATATGCATTACTGTGCACACCTCAGAGAGATCTCAGCAAGGAGCTTTTACTTTTGGTGCCGCAGCTGTGCAACTACTGCTTTCTGTCACAGCAAGGGTTCACGTGCAACTCTCTAAGTCTTGGTGGGATCACTTTAAGGACATTTGCCCACTGGTTAGAAAGCAACATCATCTATTTCTAATAATCAGGATCACCTAGTCACCTAATCAGAATAAAATTGGAAAGCACAGTGTCCATGCAAGGGAGAAAAATGAACTTGCGTAGTGATCTGTTAAGGATATCCCAGTCCTGTTTAATCTGTTTGGACTCTTTCATAATCATTACTGGAATTCACATGTACTTATTTTACTACCTGGGAGGAAGCTGTTCTTAACCACTTGTTCACCTCAATATCCTATACAGCCCACTGCTGACATGAAGAACCATTTCTCTCACCAGGCTGCGGTCCTGCACTGCCTTAGCGGTAGCCTAGGCACCTCACCACTTCTGTGGGCGAGAGTGGAGATTATGCTGGACTTCATTTGGAGCTCCTTGTCACAGCCTGTTTCTGGTGCCAGAGCATCTTTCTTCAGCTGAACCAGTAGATTTTAGTGATGGGTAGTACTATTTTGAACCTTTCATAATGCAACCACCAATGAAGTACAATGATATCACCAGATATTACATTAAAATTAAGCCATTAAAAGAAAGAAGGTCTAAGGAGGAACAAGCAGGACTATGAATGTAAGCAGGTATCTCCCTCTCTGTCCCCTTCTCCCTCATCTTCACACCCCTTAGTGAGTTCAGAGAGTGTCACAGGTCTAATATCCCAAATACATCTATATCATCCTGTCATTGACATCCCATAAGTGTTGTTATTCTATTGTGGTTGCAGAATTTAAATATCACACACTACTGCATTTTTATATTCATGCAAACCTGTTTGCCTACTCCACTTTCACTAGCCTTTAGATATCAGTTTAGCATTTGCTTTGCTACCTTGACTGTCTGGAGCTTTGTTATCTCTGCATTGTTGTCTCTACAATACCCACTTTCAGTACATCTTTTATATAACCTGCCTAAAAGCCTTTTGCCCAAGAAGGTAAACTGAAATACTTATTTGCATGAAAAGCAGCTCTGTTGAAATAAGAAGTCCTTCTGCAGAAAAGTTGAGAAGGGTTATGCAATATGAAGCTGTTACTTCTGCCTTTTTTAATAACTTAAAGTTATAAAATGGTATCTCTGTTGCAAATCTGCTTAGAGGGGATAACTATTCATAAAGTAATACTATAAATTTTATAGCACTCTGCTGGATTAGATCTACAAAACTGTTCCTCTGAAAAATGATAAAGAAATTAATTACAAGAAAACAGTTTTTTTCTAAGTTGTTTACGAGACAACTCATAAAGCACAGCTGACAGCACAGCTCTAATTCTCTTAAATTCTATTCATTTTTTTTAAAAAAAGCCACACTACAGAAAGCCTATTACTTCCTGCATTCATAAAACCTGTCAGATTTTATGAGGATAGATAAAACTGCTTAAAATCTTGCCAAAGATGAAGATGAATGTTTCAAAGAAAAGGTTAAATTGCTCATAAATTTAAAAAACCTTCTGCAGCTTTTATCACAAAAGAACCGATAAATGGTTCTAACTCTTCATCCAGTAAACATTCCTGGGGGAAGGTGGGGATTGTTTGTCCATACTGAGCCTCCCGAGTGTGGTTGGGACGGTTAACACCTCTGTTCATCCCCGGTTGGACCTAAGCTTGAAGGGAAAGTTTCCAAGCGCTGCCTTTAAGCTGAAAATCAGTGCTCAGCTTTCTCCTTTCATGAATGTATATTTAACTCTTTTGTGCTGAGTGAATTAGTGCATTTGAAATCTGAAGCATCTTTAATAGTGCCTTCGTTTTCATTTCATTATTTTTGTCACTGGTGAAGCTGCTATTTATTGACATTGCAGCTGTGCTAATAAGATGTAGTCAAGAGTCCAGGCTGCAGTGAAAACAGTCTCTTGTGCAGAAGGAGCTACCATCTGAGGTCTTGACTTCTGCGCTATGTGAGGGCAGCGGAGTCCCCCTGTAGAGAACAGGGAATGTGCCGGGGACCAAGTGACTGCAGCAGGCTTCCTGCATGCCCTGCAACACAGGAGCTAAGTTCAAGCCAGGTGGCAAATGAGCAAAATAGAACAACAGAACCATACAGATAAAGATCACCTACATCAGTTACACTATGACTAACCTGAAAGAGTTTTAAAAAACTCATGAAGTTTTAAAATAAGGCAGATTAAGCTTATTTTTTTTATCCTTCAGTTATTCGACCTTTAGGATTTGAAGGTGCTCTCTACAGTCATTATCATCAGCGCCTTTTTAGAGGGGAAAAACCCCAATCTGAGATTCTTCTACAATTCTCTAACTGTAAGACGTGGGGCTTTTGAGAAACTGAAATATGATGTTCATGATAAAAAAGCAGAAATCTGCAATGGTCTAATGCGATATGCACATTTTCAGTGGAGTGGAGTGGAACTTTGTAAATGTCAGTACTTCCAAGAAAATCCATTGTGAAATGGGGGAGAGGGGAATTACCCTGAGAAGTCTGTGGCATTTTGTTTGATCTGGGTTTTCAGTCACTTCTGGCTGCTTGTGCTCTGTCACCCTCAAAGTAAAGAAGTTCTTCCTCATATTCAATTGAAACCTCTTATGTTTCAGTTTGTGCCCATTGCCCCGTGTCCTGTCACTGGGCTACTCTAGCCAGGAGCAGCCAAGAAACAGAAGCAACACATGGATCTGCATGATGCTCTGCCCATCTTCATTAGTCACGTCTGCAGAGAGGATTTATTGCTTCAGATGCAATGCCATGCTCTGAGCTGGTATTTCTAGCTTGAGTATTATTAGCCCATTAAAAATTTGCTTCTGTCTCTTTGTACTGTGCCCCATCATGCAGTGTAGGCATGGTCTGCAACACAGGGCTGTCCTTCACACTGTAAGAAGTCCTGTCCTCAGGGTCACCTCCTTTCAGGTAAGAGTAGTAAAACACTGAAACGAAGATTTTCTGCAAAGAGCTCAGTGAGGTTTAGCGTGATGCAGAGATGTGCCCATACACGGCAGATTTCAGGATCTATGATTTTTAATGTTGTTTCAATTACCTGAAGTGAAAGATGAAGAATGTATCAGCTAAGTAGAAGGTGCCAATGACAAAAAAACCTAAGGAAAAGGGAAACACTGAATTCTTCTGAAGTATTACAGATGCTTTACTAAACTCCACTCAGAATCACAGGTGTGGGTGTATGTTCTTAGGCTCCGGATTTTAAAGAAGGTCCTTTTCTTATTCCATTGAATGCTGTCTCTCTTTCATTTATCCCTGCAGTGATGGCTGGGCAGACAGGTACGACGTGACAGACGGATACCAGCGTGAAGCTGTCGGTGGAATAACGATCAAGCTCCAGTCTCCTGATGTGAAATGGTTTGATGATTACTACCTACAACTTCGGCCAGAAACCAATCACCGAAATCCATGGTTTCAGGAATTTTGGCAGCACAGGTTCCAGTGCCGGTTGGAAGGGTTTCCTCAAGAGAACCCTAAATACAACAAGACTTGCACAAGTAAGTGAATTTATTTCTTCTGCTGTATAAACCAGTGTGACAGAATGTCTGGTGTAAAGAGCTCATGTTGGACTGATGCAGCCTGGTGTGGTGGAATAGTGAAGGGGGCCTGGAAGGAAAGAGGCTGGAACTGCAATCCTTGCTCTTTCCAAAATGACAACAACCACAATTTAAAAAGTATTCAGATTTCTAAAGAAACAACTAGATGGTGCCTCAGTACCTAATTCCTCTCTATATTTGAAAAATTTGATGCTACTCTACCTCTATAAGCATCTAAACACTTTCAAAAATGTTGCAATCCAAAATTCAATGCTTCTTTTCTGAAACAGGGCCAATCATATTGCTTTACCTCACAGGAGTAATGAGAGAGTTAATATACTAAAAGTTATCTGAAATCCATATGGTAATGATGATTATTTGTGTACTTCAGATAGAAGACTAGCTGGTTTGAAAGATTTCATTAGTTTTTCTTTCAGTCATGAGTCATTTCAGGAAATGCCATTTTGAGCTGATCTTTTTCATTAAATTGTACTGATTTTAGCAAGAACTGCTACAGTATTTTGTCATTTCTGCAAAACAGTGGCAAAAACTTTTTTCCCAGAAAGATGTGGTATGTTTTTCTGGTTTTTTTAATTACTTCTGTTAATTTCTCTTTTATTTCATGAGGTGCCATGCAGTCCTAAGTCAATGGGCATCCTGCCCATGCTAGAGTATAAGGTGGTGCCGTGTTGGGCATCAGCCCAACCACAGCTGTAAGCCCCAAGGGACCTTTCCTCCTAAAAATGTCTATAGCTTCCACACACCCATGAGACCAAGAAATGACTTTAAGGATCAAAGTCTTGGATTGACACAACACAAAACCCCACCCAAGTCCCACTTAATGTTCATAAGTCTTTCTTTAGATTTGTACAAGGTCTCAGAGGAAGTTTGTGGCTGAGCTGGAAATTTAATTTAGGAATCCCAAAATCTCAGTGTACACCTTCAACATTCAACTGACTTTTCTCCATTATTTTTCTTCTGTTACCCTTCCAACACAGCCTGACACAGGTTTTATTTGTGTTATTGACAGCTACTGCATATTGAGCGGTAAACTTCATTGATTTCCCCATGATAATGTAGATCTCTTTCCTGAGATGTCAGTACAGTTGGCATGGCTGGATACAGGCTAATAAAGACCTGGTTTCTATTGCTATGCTGTGTTAGCAATGACATTTCAACTTGACTTTTCTGGGTTACTTTTTTTACTTACTTTTTACCAACACTGGGAGAATCTAATTTCTGTTGTATATGAAAGATTGGGAACCGTGAAATGTAGGTGCCTACAGAGTCTTTTATAGTGCCTAAAATACAATTCAAATTATCTCAGGGGTGCAGGGAGATGTTATTTTAGACATGAAGGTACCCAGTCATAGATACGAGGCAACTTAATCATAAAGCTTGAATAGCTCAGTTTGAACAGAGCTCATTGCTGGAAGGTTTCTCACAAAGAGATCCTGAATGAGCCACAGCTCAAATAGGTTCCTAAAACCTAGGAATGCCAAACACACAAAGAAATGTGCAAGAATTGCAATCTGCTGATTTGCGAATCATGAACAGAGAAAAAGACTAATTTCCCAAATAGATTGTTCTAATTATTTTTCTTTCAGCTTTATTGTCATATTTAGTGCTGGGCCATGATGGCTATAGTAAAAGAACAAAAACCAGATTATAATAGCTTTGATTCTTTCTTGTTGCTGTAGGGTGGAAAATGTTAATTCAGTTGTGGAGTTTCCCAGATTGACAACACTACACGCAGCAGTCAATTAAAACTGCCCATTTAATCAGGGTTTTCACACAGGAAGTTGTTAGTCATCATGTTACTCAGTTTTATAGTTTTGATTTTGATCTAGGCCATCTGTCAAAATACATATAAAGGAAATTCAAAGATTGGCCAGAAAGATGACATGCAGATTTATTTAATGACATTTATTTGGGTTCTAAGTGCTAAGACACCTATGCTGTTTTTCTCATACTAGCCCCAAAACTAGTCAAGGGTGTACGATGAAGTGAAGAAATACTGGTTAGACAACTTTGTGGATTTGCCAGCAGGAAAGACGCAAATATATTCTCTCAGAGTTGCAGAAGTGAGAGATTTTGATGTTGGGAGTTTAACCTCAAAATTAACAAGGATTTTTGAGACTGTCATGGTAGTTTCTGTTTCTACCTCATTTCCTATGTTCCATATGACTTTGAAAATAATATCTTTATATAGATTCCTAAATACATATTTGGTTCCATAACTTCAAGCACTCTGAGTTTTGAGTCTTAAATTCCCTCAGTTCAGACTTCTTGGTTGTAAAGGTGATACCTCCCCTTGATGGTCACAGGCATTTCATAGACTGTCCTGACAGTTTCTGCACAATGATGAATGTATTAGTTCTGCTTCAGATTTATCCTGTTAAGAAAACAGGATTTTGCCCTTTAGTTTATCTAACTGAATACATTCTCTTCTCCAGCAGCTGCATACAAAAAAAAAAAAAAAAAAAAAAAAAAAAAGCTACAGGTGCTTCTCAGGACTGCAATTAAAGAGATTGGGTTTACTGATAAATGCTGGAGGGAAATAAAAATCTATTTTTTTTTTCACCAAAAGCCAAACCATTCTTTACTTCTTGGGATAATGATAAAAAGATAAACATAAAGCTGTTTGGTGTTGATAGATGAGGTCATTATTAAATGAAGATGTCTATATAGAAAGGAATAACCATTACTTTAGTGGGAAAAATGAATTATTCTCCACAACCTGGTTGTACTATCATGAAAAAAAAACCCCATCATCAGTATAAACAATTTATTTAAACAGCAAGAAAATAAGCACAAAGAGACATGGGTGAAATCTGCATAGATAATTGACTTCACCTGTGCCCTAGGTATGAACTTAGTTGTTTAAACCTTTGGATTTAATTTGCTGATCCCTGCTGAGTAAAATGGTAGGCTACATTCACCTCTGTGGCAGAAAATGCAAGAAGTCATAAGTCAATGAAGCCAGCTCCAGTGACTTGTGAGGGGTTTTTTTTCAATTTTTTAATGTAAGCTGTCCATAGAGAGTTCCAAGCAGGTATTATTATGAAATGAAGACAAGATTTAGTAAGATATGCATAATAAAACTGTGAAATCAGCCAAATAAAGAGAATCCAAAAAACAGTCCAAAACAATTTTTTCTCCATTCTTTTCTATCTATCACTAAAAAGTCTCCATCCCTTCACATACACCTAGCTGACACTGAGGTGAAAATTTTAACATCAAGCCCACTTTTCATTTGCAGATTTGAACACACTTAATCCAAATGGGTGTCACTGCTGTTGCTAAGTACATTGATTTTCTGCCCAGCTGCAGCACTACAGAAAGTGAGAAGTTTGCAGACTTATCTGACTTGATTTTCAGTGTAATCAGGTCCATGCCACAAGAGAGCTGCTACAAGCCACCTCTGAACACCAAGAGTCAGAGCAAGGAATTTAAAATGTGTCTTTAAAAGGAGACATGTAATGGCCTCCGAACACTAGGGATTTTACAAGAATTGGATTTGGCTTCTCCTCAGGCACCAGTCAGATATTTTTTTATTATCTAAGAACACAATTCAGTAAACTTTGTAAATATGTGTGCACGTTGATCCAGATGAGTAACCACTCAACAACGATCTTCAGGTCAAAAAAGGCTAATCCAATCCTTTGGTATTGATTGCCTTTGGACCTTTGAAGACTGGGTGTGTATATGCTTGCTTTCTTACAGACAAGCATCCCCACCAGAACCCAAATTCCTAGTACTTTTTCCTCCTAGTGAGGGTGTTTTACAGATGCATTTTAACATAGAGCAGAAACGAAAGACAATGCAAGCAAAGTAGGTTGTGAAACTCTGGCTCAACTGACAGTAGTAGAAGAAGTCCAGTCTTCAAGGTCATCTGGGAGAGAAGCATATTTATTACATTTACCAGGCTGTTAAATGAACCTTTTTGCCTCCGCTGTGTAAAAGCCAGAGGCACGGATGGAACAGCATTTTTAAAGTGTTACTTAAACACAGAGTGAAACCCGAATACACATCCCAACTATCCATGATATAAGTGCAAGAAAAGGAAGAGAAAAGAAATAGAGGCTGATGCTGATGAAGCAGTGCAACATCCTAGTTTGACTGGCAGAGGTTACAGACTTCAGAAAAAAATGGTAGTTTCATGTAAAGACACAATGGAAACAAGAATCTGAAGGAAGGTGATGGGGCACGTGTGCAGGTATTTACAGCAGGGTTCCTGATATTAAATACTGTGGTTCAAAGCAGCCAGGGACAAAACACAAAGGGAAATGACGGAGGCTGAGTAATCACAGAGAGACATCAACCACAGACTGGACACAGAGGGCACTGAAAGTGAGGAAAGCAACTTACGTCCGATATGCTTGGGAGCAAGTAGCCAGTGGCAGCATTTATGGGAAAGAAGAACATACTCAAAGTGATGAACAGGGAAAATGAGATTTGCAGCAGCATTCTGGATGGGTCTTAGCAGGAGGCAGAAAGGCAAATCTTCCATTCATGATTTAAACATATGGCTTCTCTGAGATAAAAACACTTTTTCCAAGGGCGCAAAAATTGACATAGAAGGATGACCGATATTTCTCCAAGCAATTAAGAACAGGATTAAGTGTGAAAGAATTTATTTGCAGAAAGGCGGATTAGGGAGATTTGGGATACATATGAGAAAAGTTTTGCACCTAAAGGTACAGAAAGGCACATAACATGTAAATGCAAAAATTATCTACCTGTTTGCTGAATCTCATCCAGCTCCAGCTACTTTTCATGAGGTCAGAAGGACTCACAGAAAATCCCAGAGTTTCATCTGAACAGAAATCTGGTTTAACAAATGGTCCTTTTGAGTTTCCAGATAGTACTGAGGAATAAAATGACTGCACTGCAGCAGCTAATAATCTGTTGGTTAAATCTAAGCTCAAATGCCAAACTTGGTTTAATCAGAACCCAGC